ACTTTTTGAAGAAAATCTAAGACTTTTAAGTGCGCCTTATGGTCGTGAAAATACGGTAAGTCCAATTGTGGTATCAAGAGAACTGAAAAAGATGATAGGAAATGTCAAACAAGCAAGAATTCTAAGGTATGGGAACCTGTTGATGTCAGGTAAGACAGGAGGAGATAAAATAATGCGTACTGAGAGGATATGTAAAAAGACTGTTGTAGAAAGAAGGCTTGAGGGAGAAAATAAAACAGTCATTTATGAGATCAGTCGTTGTTGATCAATGGACATGATAATTTGCATATTAATGATCAAGGAACTGACCTCACAGAATATTGTTCAGCTGAGACTGAAGTCACTTAGATGAGAGATTAAATGTTTCTACCGCTGAAAACACTACGTTCAGATAAACTTTTTAGGATTTACTTATGTGGATGATAAATTAATATCATTAACCATCTCTGTGACATAATATTGGGTCTGTTCTTTAGATCTGTTGTCTAACTTCTTTCACTTGGGATATCACCTCTCTCGCGACATTCATCATACTCTCATTATCACCTTGACTGCATCCCAAACTAAAGTGGGCTCAACCAGGCTATTCTTATTCTCTTGTAAATATCCAATGATTTCTCTCCTAGTGTCTTTTATAATACTTTCATTGTTTAGTATACTCATGATCAGTCATTTTACTCCTGGATAAATGGATTGTCTTATGGTCAGAGACATCTGCTGTGTTGGTAGAAGACTAATTGTTCTGATGCCTGTTCACTACATTCATAAGAAAGTAATCAATACCAGAGCATATATAATGAGTAACTGAGAAGTGTGTATCTCCAACAGTTGATTCTGTTCATCTGGACGTAGCGTTTTGTGCGAGAAATGTTTCATCACTCATCCAAATGACTTCTTCAGTCTCAGCTGACTGCAGGTTTCCCCAATCTTATAAACAGTACATTTGCATAATGACTGAAACCAGCCCACTGAAGGAACAATGGGCTGGGAGGTCAGTTCCTTAATCATGATTATGCAAATTCTCATGACCATTGATCAACAACCACTGACCAAAACCCACTGATCAAAGAGTACCGAGCCATGAGTACCGTTCACAGAGAATTGTGGAATGGCTGAAATCACAGCATCGTAAGATGGGGAAAGATGTACCGTTAGGCCCCCTCCTCGATTCAGAGATGGTCTTTCCCTTTTCACATAAATGGCCTCCTTGACTCCGCGGCTTTGGCTGCATTTCAATGCAATAAATGCAGCTGGCCACTGTGTCAGTGGGGATGGTGTTCGCTCTGTGTTGTAGCGTCCTAATGACACCCAGTTTGTGCTCCAGTGGATGATGAGAGTCAAACCTTAAATATTGATCCGTATGTGTAGGTTTACGGTGCACGCCAGCTTCCATCAGTATGGGGGACATCTAAAAGCTGACGTGTACCGTAAACCTACACATACGGATCAGTATTTAAGGTTTGACTGAGTGGTTATCCC